TCTTTTTGAGGATGACAATTGGCTTAGCCGCCCAATATTAAAATATCGGTATTTAAGGAAATTCCGTGTTTCCAATTTAGTAATGTTTTGATTAATATATCGACATAATTGATAGGACATTGGAAAATTTTAGAAGAAATTGTGGATTGTAAATCTTTATTATAGTAATAAAAGACATGATGTGATTTCAATATATTCTGGGCCGATCCAGGAATTTGGATGCCCTGAGCTAAACAATAATGACAACTTTCTTTATATAGTTTATATAGGATCATCTTTATTTTCTTTTTAAAATAGGACTTATTCACTCCTAAGGATGTTTTTACTTGGACTGTAATTTGTCCCATACCAGACCAGTCCAGACCAGACCAGTTCAGACCAAACCAGACCAGACCAGACTTGGATAGTTATAAAAATACAAAGAAACCAGACCTTACCAGACCAGTTCAGACCAGACTAAACCAGATGAGACCAGACCAACAAATTACAGTCCAAGTAAAAACATCCTAAATCCTAATAGGGAAAGTTTATACTTTTAATAGAATCAAATGAGTCCAATTTTAGAAGTAAAACCCATGAAATCCTATTTGTGTATTTTGTCTAAGTTTTAGTCCTATTTATAGAAATTTCTAAAAAATTGCCCTAAATAAGAGTAAAATGTTTGTGAATACTATATTAGGTTTGTCATATTTTTATTTTAAAAATATGAGTAATTATTGTCTTGTTTTGACATTAGCAGAAATTAAACATGTTAGTATTTTTCAAACTTAATTGTAATTAATTCTATTCGGAAATTTAAAAAACGGCAATTTTGTTTTGAAATTCCAAAACTTTTTAATTCTTATTACGGGGATTTTCTCAATAGTATACTACATCCATCTCCTAAAACTTTGGCAAGTTTTCTTTTTTTGTTCTTCTGAAAATTTTGTCACTATCATTTTAATCAATCAATTTGTGGTTGTAATAATTTCTCTTTTCTCTACACAAAACTTAACTAAAGATGAAATATTAGAAGAAAACTTTATTAAATGGAAAATTCGTTGTTCCAAAAATTTTACTTTATTATTTTCTCGTGGATCAAATTTGACAAATTTTTTAAAGACAAATGGAATATTAGAAAACTTTATTACTAATTAATCATTACTCTCTTCTTAACTTTGGACGCATTAATTGTCACTAGTACGCTTTTTAAACTTGCCTCGTTTACCTTTAGCTTGAGTATCTTCATCGAGGACAGGTAAGAGAAAAGACCAACAATTGTCTATTTGTCTGCCAACTTTTTTTTACATACCTTTATTACAAATCATATACGTAGTATAAAAAAACCCTAAATAGGTAACTAAGAGTAAAAGTATAGGATAATTTGGAGTTATATACTTTTACAAGTTTTACATACTTTTATTACAAATCTTTTTTTGGAATTCCTAAGGTTTTTAGTTTTATTTCGGAATTGTTTCCCTTTAAACAAGTTTGGGTAAATAGTGTACAACTCGAATAGTAAATAGTTGTCCAAATTCTTGTGTAGTAGCCTTCACCGCACAAAGTAGTTTTATCATCAAATAATTCCAACCCTTAATAATTACTCCGTAATTCAGAACTCCAATGCAAAAAAGAAGCATTTGCCATGTGAAGGATATATACAAGTTCCCACCCCTTTTACCAATAAAAAAAGTAAAAGATCTACTGCTCGAGGCAGAGGAGAAAAGCTGGCCCAGATACTGCCAAACCCCAAAATATAAAGGTTATGGAGTAATTAAATACTATCGTATTCTTTTCTAAATAAGGATATAAGTTCTTTATAAATTTGTCAAGTTTGACTGACACGAGAATTAATAAAGTAAAAAATGTGTGGTTGAGATTTATGCAGAGGAGAGAGAATTAACTGGAACCACAAATTCTTTATATTAATACTAAGGGTTATTAATGAATGGTTGTTAATGAATGATTGTTATTACTAACTATCCTCGATGAATTGGATATATACTCATTGATTGAGTATTCGAGAGGGGATAAGTTATATATACAACTGGGACCAACAAACATATCAACAAGTGGAAAGTAGCAAAGCCAAGTCTTTTATCTCATTAATTAATTAAAATCATATAAGTCGTTCGCCCGTTCATCTTAGTATTTAATTAATTAAAATCAAGGGAAAATCACACTTTTAGTCCCTCAAATAGCCACCATATTGAAATGTCAGACTCGTGTTCTAAAGTTTGTAAATGCCACACCTCAATTGTCTAAATTACTAAAAATGTGGTCCTTTGAGGTGTGAAATGTACATGTGGGTGAGGAGTACATTTTACCCTCAAAGGACCACATTTACAACAATTTGGACAATTGAGGAGTGACATTTACAATTCCAGAAATAAGGGTTGACATTTCAATATGACGACTATTTCAGGGACTAACTAAACATGCGATTTTCTTTAAAATCATACAATCCCAAAACCCCCCTTTTAATTACTAGTTTCGTAAAAGAAAATTATTCATTTCCTTGTGAATACGAACTCTACTTCACTTATACTATGTATTAGTGCTAGTATTGAATTTATTTTGAGTCACACATATGACTTTAGTGTCATCACCTATGATGATTAAGAGGAGAGACTTGTCTCTCATAACAACAGTCCTGTAAACAAACAAAATAAAATGGTAAAGATATGCTAAAATCCATACTCTGTTGTAGAGAGAATTGTTCGTAGAGTTTCATTACCGAATGCCCCTATAAATAGGGATAGAGTAGGGTTTACAAGTACGGGCCAATAGGCCCAGATTACATAGTTTACATAGAAATGACCCTAATACATATTCTATATAAACGATAGCACACTACATAGAATTTCCTTCAACACTCCACCTTGTGCTGAGTTGAATAGAATTTGGTATCTGTCTTGTTGTCTCGTCAAAACCTCTGTCAAGTAACAAAAGTTGCCTCTTATACACTTGTGTGAGGCTTCTCTGAACTCTCACATTGCTTGGGCATCAATGCCCACCGAGCTACCCTCAATAGGCGTTCCCATAGAAACTCGTTATAAAAATGAGATAGAAGATATCATTTTACATCTAATAAATGCAAAAGAAAATGCATATTTCATACATTTATGAGACAAAAAGGGCATTGACTCATACAAATTTTAAAATAACTGACTCATCATTAATCATTCGAATAAAGGATAAAAGGGATCCGACACAAGGAGGTAAATTGTTGGTTTTAAGCATTGCTTAATAACAAATCAATATACATCTTCTAAAGTACGAGAAGATATATTTACTCTCCATTATGCCTTAAAAATATTTTAGAAGGTATGCCAGTTATTTCTAAAAGTTTACTCCCTAGCAATAACAGAATCGAGACTTGTCTGTGCTAAGGATATAAAAATGAAGATATCTCATTTTTTCAATACAATATGACACGTGAGAACTTACCTACCAAAATGCGGGCCGTTCAAGTAATTATGGTTTGGTAGAAATCTCTTCATGTCATCTATTTTCTTGTTACATAAAATGTTGCATTTGCAAAACTTCTAGCACAAATTTATTCATTTAAGGGGCTCATCACCGACCCGACCAATCAAGTCTATATGACTTGTTATTGCTAGACAGTTCTCATCAAAAGTATTTGACGAGTATTGCATATTTGTCGAGATCAATGAAAATCATCTCACATCCCATGTAAAAATAAAGTCTCACTAAAGCTCATATCTAAAAGAATATAGATGATGAATATTATATCTACTATGCGCACATGTATATATAATTATTTTCATGGGATTATGCAATATTGCAAGCACTCTTACACATTTGTTTTTTTAAGACCGATAGTAGACAACCACTTTTGTGTATACCAGTTGGTGACTGGATCTTAGCCTGAGATGTTCTACTTATGCATATGTGGTTGTTAAATGTTGTGCCTATTGCGCCTTCCACATCGCACTATAACCGGTTTAAAAAAACAAATGTTGTTTATGTTGGATATGAACCTCCAATAATAACCGCTACAAGCCTTAACAAATAATGTGTTCACCGCTTTGCGGAATATTACTTTTATGAGACAACTAATTTTCCTGTCATTAGGGGGAGATTAGAGAAAGAAAGCTCTAATTAAATGACAGAATCTTTATGATGGTACATCACTACTCTGTCTCAATGATAAACTTTAGACTTCAAAATGTAACATTGAAGTTGAAGTGTTTATCAATTATCATAAATGATTTAAGTAATTAATCAGATTATACACACTAGCTGCAAATATATTCATAAGGCTTGAATTCAAATTAAAAGACACAATGAATTCAATTTATTTTGAGTCACACATATGACTTTAGTGTCATCACCTATGATGATTAAGAGGAGAGACTTGTCTCTCATAACAATAGTCCTGTAAACAAACAAAATAAAATGGTAAAGATATGCTAAAATCCATACTCCGTATATGTTAAGTAATATATATGGTATTCTTGGTGATATTTATATTACTTGTATATTTGAACTCACAAATAGATGAATTTATGCTCCAAGTACCATATTAATAGTAAATGCATAAAATGATTACCTAAAATAAACGAGCAAACTTGTGAGCCGAGGACATACAAAAATCCGGTGTAACTGTCAATATGATATTTTGGCACCATTCTATAAAAAAGATACTACTCCCTCTGTAATATTAATATTTTATCACTTTCCTTTTTTGGACGTAACATATATATCTTTCCATTTCTAAATCTTCCTAGCATAAATTCATCTATTTTGGCACCTATTTTTTTTGAATTTATCATTCATTCCATCACATTATTTCACCATCTTCCCATCATACCCTCAATAATTCATACTCCATTTTATTATTCTTAATCTCACCCACTTTGGAAGTAGGAAGATATATGTGATACGGAGGGAGTAGTATTTTGGTACCAAAAGGAATTAAAAAAGGAAATACATAAAAGATCTCAATTTACGTATAAAAATGGACTTAGTTAAGGGAGGGACCATTTTGGTTACAAGAAAAAAGAGATATTGGACCAAGTAATTTCCCCTACCTACTTTAAAGGCATCTTTCTATCCTGTCCATAATTTATTCGCCGTCCTCTTTATATATAAGTATCTCGATTTCTAGGCACAGTTCAGCTCACAAAGTGGTCCGAGCCAAAACCCAAAGATGGGCGGCGCCGCCGGGCTAAAAGTGATGTCAAGCTGCAGAGTATTGGAACTGGGAGTAATAATGGGTACCCAATTTCTCCTTCTTCTGTTACTGCAAGGCCAAGGAGCAAGAGGTTTGACGGCGGGGCAAAACAGTAATAATGTCAGCAATGGCGGCGGCGCCGGCGAGAAGTGTAACTTATTCAGAGGGAAATGGGCGGTGGATTCCTCGTATCCTCTGTATAAGCCCGCCAGCTGCCCGTTTCTCGACCCTGAATTTGACTGCATCAAATTTGGCCGCCCGGATAGGCTCTACCTCAGCTATGCCTGGCAGCCCGACTCTTGTGCCTTGCCCAGGTTATTTTATTTCTAATTCAATCAATTTAATAATTCGATAATTATGGGCTGAAAATATTAAATTTGATGAATGTTTCGTTTGGTAAGAGGAGAATTTGACGGGAATTATGGGCTGAAATATTAAATTTTCATATATTCTAGGGATAAGGGTCAGATAGGGCCTCGAACTCGAAAAAAAATGTCAAATAAGGTCATATTTCGGATGCTCTGTCTGGCCGACGCCATTTGAGGCAGTTCCCGATGGAATTTTTTGATGAAATTTTTTGAGCATCTTCCTCATTAAGTCTAGTTTACCCATACCAAATTTCAGCTAAAAATTCAACCGGGAAGGTAGTCAAATAATTTTCCGAAATGTACGGCGTTGTTTAACTTCACAGTTATCTTCAAAAACTCATTTGACTACCTTCCCGGTTGAATTTTTAGCTGAAATTTGGTATGGGTAAACTAGACTTGATGAGGAAGATGCTCAAAAAATTTCATCAAAAAATTCCATCGGGAACCACCCCGAATGGCGTCGGCCAGACAGAGCATCCGAAATATGACCTTATTTGACATTTTTTTTCGAGTTCGAGGCCCTAACCCTTATCCCTATATTCTATTATACGGAGTATAAACGTACGATTTGGATATCTATTATTGGAATTAATATAAAAGAATTGGCAGGGGATTATGGGCTGATTTTTTTATGTATTCTGATGGAAGTGACTATATTAGCCTATTAGGTGTAATTTTAATTAAATCAAAAACTTGTGCTTTGAATGGGTTTGATGGAAATTACATACTCCGGGTAGTACTTAAAAAAAGAAGGATAAAAGAGTCATTTGACATCGTTTAAGCTATGCTCTGTACTGTTTTATACTTTTACATTCTTCTAATCGAGCATCGACTCAATTGATATAATACCCCGATTTCATTCGTTTTGTTTTCATTTGACACACTTATTAATACGCTATTCCTAAAATTTTATTAAGTTTGACGGGTAGAGAAAATAGTAAGGTAAATACGGTATGATAAAGTTTATGTAGAGGAGAAAGAGATACAAGTACAAATTTGGGGACATAAAAAATTGGAGATTACGAGCCCGTTTGGAGAACTCTGTTTTCGGCTTATCAGGCTTATCAGCCAACTTTTTCACCAAACACGTAACTTTTACTTTCGCGCGCTGAATTGTGTAATAAGCTGAAAAAGTAAGGTTGGAGTTACTTTTCTGGCTGTATTGGCTGAAGTTACTGTAGAGGACCATTTTAGCTATTTTTACATATAATTTTTTCTTTAATTTATTAATAAAATATATTCTTAAAATATTTTTTTCTTAAATCAGCAGAATCAGCCAAAACAGCCACTCCAGCCAGAATATCATAAATTTCAGCAGAATCAGCCAAAACAGCCGATTTTGGTGCTACCAAACGGGCTCTACAAAGTTACAAGGGACAAAGCTACGGAGTATATAGTATTGTTTGGCATAATTATTACTCCGTAATAAATATTTTGAAAAGTTAAAAATTGCGGTTGAAATTTGAATTCAATAATAAAGTCAAATGACTTGGAACACTATTTTTTTTCCAAAAAGAGAGCTACGAATGAAATAATTAAGAAAGGAAAGTAAAACAAAAACGATGGGATTAGTAACTAATAGAGTTAGTCTTAACTAAAAATCATGGCTAAACACATAAAAAGTCACACCCAAAGAAGTGTCATAACAAATATTGCTTAAAATACAGCTAAAATATGGACAAAATGCACAAATACGACCAACTATATTTTATTCTCAAAATAAGATTTATTTAGTCATAGTAGAAACATCAAACTTTCCCAATTAAGACCGAACGTGTCATATTTAAAGAATAAAATATATTTTAGTCCTAATGCACTTTGAATATGTTTTCCGTTTGGATAAAAAAATTGTGTTCCTTATCATTTCACGTTATTATACTCAAATACCAAAACTATTACTGATCAATCACTCTATTAATAATTGTGACAAAAATGAAAATACAACCAAAAAGGGTTCGCTTTGTTCATTCGTACACGGTACACAGTACGATTGAACACATTAGTTGTCAAATAGGCCGTATTTATAAATGTTTGATATTGACTTTTTAGGTTTTTCCGGTATAAGTATAAATGAAAGTAAGAAAAGGTTACTCCCTCCTTCCTAATTTGATGATGTCAATGTGGTTTACGATGTTTGAGTGACAATAAAGTAAACAGATCATTGTCCGCACTCATATTATTTTTAGGAAAAAAATACATATTCAGAAAGTATTTTAAAAGCTTTACAAAGTCTCAAACACCTGAATCAATTTTGATAAAAATTTGATATATAAAGTAAGAGATTTAGAGTGGTTTGTGTTGACCATGTGACTAAGAACTGGTACAATCAAATTGGGATAGAGGTAGTATTTGATTTATAACCACAATACATTGTCATCATAAACTAGATGCACTTTGGTTCACATAAGAGTGAGGAATAAACTAACCCGTACACCTTATAAGCCAATTTATTTATATTCAAATACTTTCATTATGAATTGAGGTTTATTAACTATTAAGTTGTTGTAAAATGGAAATACATATAGGTTTGATGGATTGGAGCTTTTGAAGAGATGGAATGGGAAGAAGATAATGTTTGTGGGCGACTCACTGAGTTTGAACATGTGGAACTCGCTGGCCTGCATGATTCATGCGTCGGTGCCAAATGCAAAGACGAGCTTTTCAAGACAGGAAACCCTCTCCTTTGTGTCCTTCAACTTTAAGGTCAGCTGCCCTTTGTTTGATTCTCTGTTCCTACCTCGTTTTTACCACCCATTTCTTAATACGCTATTTATGTATGTTCTGTCTTGCTGGCTTCTATGTCTTTGATCCTATCTGCCCTTTGCGTGTGGTCGTTATTTTCCCTTTTTTCCTTGCATTTAATAAGGACTAAAATAAATGATGAACCTTTTTTGTAGCACTTAAAATGAGTATAATAAATGATCAACCTTTTTTTCTGGCACTTAAAATGAGTAAAATAAATGATGAAATTTTTTTCCTTGCATTTCAATAAGTAAAATAAATGATGGATGAAAGTTGGTAATATCATCTTCTTTTTCCTGTTTTGATTATGAATGAAAGATAGATCTCAGAAATCTACTTATTTGTAGTGAAATAAAAGTTTCACTACAAGCGTAGTATTGATGCATTATTGAAGCATTAATGAAGCATTATTGCTGCGTAGTATATACGAAGTACTTCATATGACTATAAGCGTAGTGGCTAATTAAATGGTCTAAGCAAATCGGATAAATGGTCAAGCAGAATCTGAATGGGCTATTCATGATGAACAGATAAATACGTATAGTAGTATCATATTAACATTTGAAATTTCATACGAAAACGTTAATTTGATTGGAAGAATTACATGTTAAAATCTTATTTTAAACACATTTAGAACCCCTTTGAAAATACTTAAATTAGATGGATCCATTAAATCTGCTGAAATTGATTGAAATTCTGACTAAACCGGCTCAAAAAACTGAATTTGATGAATTAAGAGTAAATTATAGTTAAGGTATACGAAGTATATGGTATTTTGCTAATAAAATATAGAAAAATTTACGTATAGTACTACGTAATACGTATCTTCAACAAGTTCAATAAGAGAAAACTCTTTGCCCAATAGACAAAGAAGCTTTGATAGGGAATGATAGCTAATACTACCTCTTCTCCCTAAGGTTTTGATAAAGGAAAATGATGCAGTTTTTAAAAAAGTAAAGTTTTGTGGTTCGAGTTATAAATTGATAATAAAGTAAGAATAAATTATGATCATACAAATATTATCAAATATCGTATGAGACAAATTTAGTGGAGCGAATAAAAAGAAAATAATTACTATCTCCGTCCCTGAATTTACTTCCAATTTAAAATGACACACGGATTAAGAAAGTAGGAATTGTGTGATGGAGAGTTGTGCAGAGGAGATAGAAATGTTGTGAACCACAAATTCTTTGCCAAAAAGGGAAAATGAAGTTTTTTTTGGGACAAACGAAAAGAGAAAGTTGGAAGTATTTTCAGGGACGGAGGAAGTATACAATTATAGTGAAACGGATGGAATATAGACAAGTTTAGGTGTTGAAAACCATTTGCCTAAACCGTTGACTCAAGCTACCCGCGGGCAAAATGTATCAGGCTTGGCAACTTAACATGAACAACAAGTGTCATAATCAAGAATATCATAAGTGTTAGGAATCAATGAATCATCATTAATAAGGCAGAGTACAATCGCAAACTAAAATTTAATAAAGCCACTTTAACTGACCACTCACATTATATTGTTCTCATGTTGTGATCAATACACGTGAATTTCATTAATTAATCATTGTGACAACAACTAGGTTTAGTTGATGCAAGTTAGCAAGTACACAACGTATCTAACTATCCTGCTTTATATACATATACAAAATGTTTTTGTTTAATTTAAATATCAAGTTGTCATTTTCTTTCTTTTATAAAAAAGTCTTTTTTACATCAACATATTAGAATTTCATACTCCTGTATTTTAAAAATCAAGTGTACTGTTCCATATATTTTCTTTATTTTAAATATCTTGTACGCGATATATATTTACCCTGTATAAATATAGCTTAAAAAAGTTGTGATCTCTTCGAAATTAAACTTCTAATACTATTCTAAAATCTTTGGTACACTTGCAGTCGTATATACTCGGACAATTACAATGAAAAATTATACAAAATCAGTCTAAAAAAGGGGTGATGCCCCGTCTCCGAAAGGCTATGCATTTTTACATGTAACCTCTCTCATCGCAGTTGTCGGGATTCGAATCCGTGACTTATCTATCAGTCCAGTTGAGCTACGCCCACCGGCTATACACAATCAGGCCAAACTTACATATATGAGCGACAATTAGACCAAACTTACATAGATCACATCATACACACAAACAAAGTTGTGCCTTTGACAAGTGTTGATAAACCATAAAATCTGAAAAAATTGAATTATCCAAGGGGCCCTAAAAAGTCAACAGGATCATATTGCTGCAGTGCCTGTTAAGTGTCAACCGAACAAAATCAATGCAAAATTTAAGGCTGACTAATTTAAAATTCAAGAGTATTAGGTGAAGTTTGGAATATTACTTCTTTTAGGGGCCACAGTCATAAATGTTCAACAATAGTGTTTATTATCCTTTATTTATATGTGGTAGTGTATATTTTTTTATATATAAAAGAAAGACCATGTCTTGTTGCAGGGGTATGGAGTAACTTTGTACCTTTACCACACAACATACTTGGTGGATATAGTAAAGGAAAACATAGGAAGGGTATTGAAATTGGATTCTATACAGCAAGGCCAGGCATGGTTAGGAATGGATGTGTTGATCTTCAACTCCTGGCATTGGTGGACTCATAAAGGAAGATCTCAACCGTACGTTTCTTTTCCTCATTTCAAATCTGTGGTGTCAATTTTATGCACAAACTCTAACTGAGCATTATTCTTATTTCAAAACTATACTTTTTTAATGTGCAACGAGACAAATTTAGCATATCTATTTTTATACCGCTTTACTTATTTCGTTCATCCAACTAAATTTGTCACATGCATGTCATATTGGTATTATTTGAGTAGTTATAATTTATTCTTATTTTAGAAGTTCAACTCAGCATTAATCTTATTTCAAAACTATACTTTTTTAATGTGCAACGAGACAAATTTAGCATATCTATTTTTATTCCGCTTTACTTATTTCGTTCATCCAACTAAATTTGACACATGCCATATTGGTATTATTTGAGTAGTTATAATTTATTCTTATTTGAGAAGTTCAACTCAAAAGCTTTAAATTTTGCAATTTATTATTTCATATTTTATCGGTCACGGACTTGAATTCACACTCAATTTAATGTCAACTACTCCGTATATACTTTCAGTTTTCTTAATAACCACACCACTCTCTCTCAATGTTAGCGATAGCAATAGTTTACATAATATACTTTTTAAATATATTAATGTGCATTTTTTGGTTTTATGCCTGGAGATTTGCGCAATATATTGTTCTGTACGGCCGTAGGCCTTTTGAACCCAACGGAAAAAAAAAATCGAAGCATTTATTGCTTTATTTTTCTGTGTAGATGGGATTATGTACAAGATGGGTCAAAGGTGTACAAAGATATGGATCGGCTGGTGGCATTCTACAAGGGCTTATCAACTTGGGCCAGATGGGTGGACCTCAATGTCAATCCTTCTAAGACTCAAGTCTACTTCCAAGGAATATCTCCCACTCATTACATGTAAGTACACATTCATTACTACTTCCTTTCAAAAAAATAAAAAGCATATCATTTTTTAAATTTGAAAAATGTTAATAGGAAGTAGAGGTCAACCTAACCAATCATTCCAGCCCAGCTGGTTGTGAGGTTACCGTGCCTAGTGGGAGATTTCAACTTCGAAACCCGCTAAGCACTTAAGGGTTTGAAACTCAATAAAGTGGGTTTCAGCCCTGAGTAAAAAAAGTAGGGGTCAAACCTAGGCCCGGATCCATCCAAATCTTTAAATTTTCATACAAAAAATTGCTCAAAAAAATCTATTAGTATACTAGTGAGTACAGTCAATGCCTTTAAGGTCTTTGAGATAGTACATGTGCTGATAACTCGAGGTGACATATAACGTAACAGGGGAAACGAGTGGAAGTCGTCGTCAACCAAAAACTGCAACGGAGAGCAATTGCCGCTAGAAGTATCAAAATATCCAGCAGGGACACCGCAAGCCGCGGTGGTTGTTAATAAAGTGCTAAGCAGGATCAAGAAGCCGGTTCGTCTGCTGGATATCACATTTCTGTCTCAGCTAAGAAAAGATGCACACCCGTCTATGTACAGCGGCGGGGGCAGCCGTTCGGGTGTGGATTGTAGCCATTGGTGCCTCCCCGGACTCCCTGATACCTGGAACCACCTGCTTTATGCTTCTCTGTTTGTGTGAGGATATATATATATATATATATATATATATATATATATATATATATATATATATATGATCATTACTGCCTCAGCTTGTGCATATAATACACATATCATCATCTTGTGCTTATTTGTTATTTGTTCCTCGTACATTACACGGTTGCAGCAGTGCGCCGTCATTCTTTCTGTGAGAACAAATAAACTGTTCAAATCATTGTTTCATCACTTGTTGTAGAAATGGAAGAAGTGGTTGATTAAAAAATTGGAGCACAAACAATTCTGGGTTGTGAACGAATTAATAGGGGTACTTCTGATTTGAATGTAATTACGACCCTATAATAACTTCGTAAAAAGTTCCTCATATTTGGATAATTAGATGTTTGTAATTAGGCATGGCCTCGGTTCGGGCCGCCCGGCCCGGGACCGGCCCGACCCGCTACTGTGCGGGCCCGGCCCGGCCCGGTTATCCGGGTCCGGGTCCGGTTCGGGCCGGAGGCCCGGGGGTGGGGCGGTTCCGGGCTCGGTTCATGGTTTTGACGGCCCGGCCCGGCCGGTTCGGGCCCGGGTCCGGGCCAAATCTATTTTTTTTTTTTAATTTTTTTCATTTGTTTTGGGCTGTTGGGCTTGGGCTATCTGTTTAGGCCGGTTTGGGGGGGTTTTGGGGGGGGTGGGGGGTGGGGGGGGTGGGGGAAGAAAGGAAAAAAAAAAAAATTAAACCGGGTGGCCCGACCGGCCCGGCCCGGTCCGGCCCGGAACCGGACCCGGAACCGGTGGCCACCGGTTCGGGCTCGGGCCCAACAAAACAGACCCGAGGCCCGGCCGGGCCTAGGCCCGAACCGGGCCCGAACCGGCCCGGGTCCATCCATATTTGTAATTGGATTGATTTCAATCAAATTAAATTAAACTAAATCATACTTGCATAAATTAGATCAGACTTCAACAACAATAAAATACTTATAAAATAGACATCTATCAAACCAAATTAGTTTAAACCAGGATCACAAAAAAAAATGACACCTCATCCTTGAGGGCCCTCCAACACCGACCGGACAGCACGATGTCAATCCGACAGATAGAGAGTGGAGCTCTGTCCCCGGTATTTGCAGAGACCCTATGTTGGTTAATCTCTCATCGCAGTTGCCGAGATTCCAACCCGGGACCTAACCCTTGTGAGCTACGTCACCGGTTAAACCAGGATCACCAGATTTAAATAGATCATACTAAATAAAATTAGAAAATTTCAATCATACTAAAAGCATATAAGTAAATTAAAACATCAACGATAGAAAATAGTTACATTTTTTATCTACTTTCTTAATAATAAAGCACAACCTTCAAATTGAAATTGATTTATCAATTGATTAATTGCTATCGAGTACAATTAAATTAAATAATTGCTATGAAGTACAAAAAAGAGTGATCACTCACGTTCAATCCTTTCCATACTTTTTAAATGGTAAATGTTGCATGATCTTTTAATCATTTGGTATCAATAATCAATAATAAATATCATAAATTCAAATTTCACATATATATAGTTTCAAATTTTACGTTTTATTGTCAAGCATTAAAACCTATACTTGCATTCATTTGTTGGTACGAAACATACATTGTTTTTCACAGACTATTTATACATCTTTGATCAACTTTTTACTAATTCATAAAAATTGTGTATAGCAGGAAAAATAAGTTTCAATTTTTTATACATCTTTGGTCAATTTATAAAAAAGAATACTCACTTATCGAATAAGAAGTTTCAATTTTATCATTTTACTAAAATGGAAATATTTGTGAATCAAATATATGTATTCTATTTAAAAGGAATGATTATATTCTTTGTAGTTTAATTGAAATTGATGCAATGATGCCCCATGGTATATGTAAATATTGTGAATTTAGGAGTTAATTTCAATTAATGACTCTTCACTAATTGGACTCAACAACAATTCATTAAGAATTCAATTTCAATAGAAGGTTGTACTTTATTATTAAATAAATAGAGAGATAGGTAGATGCAAATACTATGAATTTCAAACATAATTGCAATTAATGACTATTCACTAATTGGACTCAATAGCAATTAATTGGTATTCAATTTCAATTAGAAGGTTGTACTTTATTATTAAGTAGATTTGGGAGAGAATATTAATAATATTGATAACAATAACTCCAATTCTTCTTTCAAAACAATACTTCAATTCTAAGCTTTAAAAGTGTCGAAGCAAACCAGATTTAGAATTAATGAAGAAATTAGTATAAACCCCTAGGGATGTCATTCCCTATTTCCCTCCCTGCACCCCCCCTATTTCCACATGCATAAAAAGCGTATTTTGCCCAAATTTCAAAACTTTTAACCAAAATTTGCTGAAATAGAAGTCATATTGAATATTCACAAACAATATCAAACTTTCAGTAGATACTTTCCCCTAGACATGCTATTCAAGATTAGACTAAAAAAGGAATCATTTGGGTTTAGGATCAAGATCGATCAGATTGATAGCAGATCAGTGTTAAACGAAAGATATATGTGGTCATCAAATAGCCTGAAGTGACAGAGAAGTGCCCACAGTTGTACATCATTCAAGTAGCAAAATCATTAGAGATCTTCATGATGCTTCCAAGAGAAACTAGCAAGTACTAATAATGATAGCTGAATGCCCAGTAGATCTATCTCTTCTGGAAATTGAATGTCTTCATGCAATAAGCATACATGAATGCAAAGCAAAGTGCAAACCCAATCAATATTCCAAGAACAGGCCACTTGAATTTGGGATCATAGCCAAAATGTTCCTCTATGTAGGTTTTAATCATTGGTCGTGCAGATGATCCAGCCACCCTAATAGTATCCTCAGCATCTCCGTATTCTCCAATGATTAGGCCGTAGATGGTCCATGCTGTAGAAGATATCCAGCTATACCATCTCCACCACATGGGTATTTTCTGAAGATATCATCCATGTTTGAATATCATACATAGTATATAATCATTGACGTTTATATAAAAAAAACATAATAGAAAGTGTAGCACAACGTCTTACATATCAGTTTGGTCATTTATATTTTACTGCTATGACATTACATAACATGCCCTGAGATGGTTGTTTGTTAGAGAAACCAATCTAGAAATGTATTGCTCTTTATGAACCATAGTCAGATCAAGTTGCTCACATCAGAAAAGTGGTTTGTGGTACCATGTTAAGAGTTGAGATGGTCTTGCCCAAATATAAAAATACAAACCAAAATATCAAGTCTCACCTCTCTTATTATGTTGAACTTTTAATGTAAAACCCCAAGTCTTAATATATGTAATTGAGCAGTAGATGATAGTCATTTGTTTTTAAAGAATGGATTGATTTAACATAGACTTACTGGTCTTGGGACGAAGAAACCCGAAAACAGATTGAAAAGAGAGTAAAAAGAGGCTGCGAAAATGGCTGCTAGTTGTTGGTTTGGTGTGAGGGATACGGCCATCATCCCATAATACGTGAAGTAGAGAAAGCTGAAGAAATTCACCGAGTAAAACCACAAGAACTTGGCTGCTATCCATTCAAACCTCAACATTGCATATACAATTAAGGTGTAGAACGTTGTCTGGATGAGCACATATGGTATCTCTAGTATCACCTGTGCTAAGGCATATGGAAGTGCCGAGTACATCCCTGCCCCTCTTTCCCTATAAAACACTCTTCTCTCCACCACCACTACTTGCTGCACTGTTGAACTGTTGGTGATCCCCAACAGTAAAACTGTGGCGTACATGGCTCCTATTACTGTCAAAATATCTATATCCGTGTCCCTGAGCATAAAAAAGACAATTAGTAATTGTACCACTAAGTGCTGGTTTCTAAGGCTTGTTTTCAAGCGTTATGTATACTTCATTAACTCTTACTCCGTATTTAGTTACAACAGTTTGATTGTCAAGTTTGACAATATACAACAACATTGACCATTAATTTATTATACTATCTATTTGTAAAAATCATAACTCATAAGTCATTGATATTTTGGAATTTTACATTGATACCTGATAGAACACTGGAATTATCTAACTCAGAACATTATAAAATCAGTAGCAATGAACAAGAACAGATCGAAACACTTTATTCACAAAGATGAACAGATCACAGAAGGGATACAATACAATGGACCATCCCCCCTTTTGCCTCCCATCCCCTTCTATTTATACTACAAGTACACCTATTATTATCTACATGTACACTTATTATTATTATTATTATTATTACTATTATTATTATTACTATTATTATTATTATTATTATTATTATTATTATTATTATTATTATTATTATTATTATTATTATTATTATTATTATTATTATTATTATTATTATTATTATTATTATTATTATTATTATTATTATTATTATTATTATTATTATTATTATTATTATTATTATTATTATTATTATTATTATTATTATTATTATTATTATTATTATTATTATTATTATTATTATTATTATTATTATTATTATTATTATTATTATTATTATTATTATTATTATTATTATTATTATTATTATTATTATTATTATTATTATTATTATTATTATTATTATTATTATTATTATTATTATTATTATTATTATTATTATTATTATTATTATTATTATTATTATTATTATTATTATTATTATTATTATTATTATTATTATTATTATTATTATTATTATTATTATTATTATTATTATTATTATTATTATTATTATTATTATTATTATTATTATTATTATTATTATTATTATTATTATTATTATTATTATTATTATTATTATTATTATTATTATTATTATTATTATTATTATTATTATTATTATTATTATTATTATTATTATTATTATTATTATTATTATTATTATTATTATTATTATTATTATTATTATTATTATTATTATTATTATTATTATTATTATTATTATTATTATTATTATTATTATTATTATTATTATTATTATTATTATTATTATTATTATTATTATTATTATTATTATTATTATTATTATTATTATTATTATTATTATTATTATTATTATTATTATTATTATTATTATTATTATTATTATTATTATTATTATTATTATTATTATTATTATTATTATTATTATTATTATTATTATTATTATTATTATTATTATTATTATTATTATTATTATTATTGTTATTATTATTGTTATTATTATTGTTATTATTATTGTTATTATTATTGTTATTATTATTGTTATTATTATTGTTATTATTATTGTTATTATTATTGTTATTATTATTGTTATTATTATTGTTATTATTATTGTTATTATTATTGTTATTATTATTGTTATTATTATTGTTATTATTATTGTTATTATTATTGTT